AATGTTCTTCTTTTATAGAAAAATTTCGATAAATTCTCTTCATTTATAGAAAATTTTCGATAAATTTTCTTCCTTTATAGAAAATTTTCGATAAATTTTCTTCATTTATAAAAAATTTTCAATAAATTGTCATTTATAAAAAATTTTCAATAAATTTTCTTCATTTATAAAAAATTTTCGATAAATTTTCTTCTTTTATAAAAAATTTTTGATAAATTTTCTTCTTTTATAGAAAATTTTCGATAAAATTTCTTCTTTTATAGAAAATTTTCGATAAAATTTCTTTTTTTATAGAAAATTTTCGATAAAATTTCTTCTTTTATAGAAAATTTTCGATAAATTTTCTTCTTTTATAGAAAATTTTCGATAATTTGTCTTCTTCTACAGATAATTTTCGATATATTTTCTTCCTCTATAGAAAATTTTCGACAAATTTTCTTCTATAAAAATTTTTCAATAAATTTTCTTCTTCTATAAAAGTTTTTCGATAAATTTTCTTCTTTTATAGCAAATTTTCGATTAATTTCCTTCTTTCATAGAAAATTTTCGATAGATTTTCTTCTTTTATAGAAAATTTTTGATAAATTTTATTTTTCAAAGAAAATTTTCGATAAATTTCCTTCCTTTTAGAAAGTTTTAAATAAATTTCCTTCTTCTATAGAAAATTTTCGTTAAATTTTCTTTTTTATAGAAAATTTTCGATAAATTTTCTTCTTTTATAGAAAATTTTCGATAAATTTTCTTCTTTTATAGAAAATTTTCGATAAATTTTCTTTATTTGTAGAAAATTTTCTATAAATTTTCTTATTTTATAGAAAATTTTCAATAAATTTTTTCCTCTTATAGAAAATTTTCAATAAATTTTCCTCTTTTATAGAAAATTTTCAATAAATTTTCCTCTTTTATAGAAAATTTTCGATAAATTTCTTTTATAGAAAATTTTCGATAACTTTTCTTTTTTTATAGAAAATTTTCGATTACTTTTCTTTTTTATAGAAAATTTTCGATAAATTTTATTCGATAACTTTTCTTTTTTTATAGAAAATTTTCGATAAATTTTCTTCTTTTATAGAAAATTTTCTATAACTTTTCTTCTTTTATAGAAAATGTTCGATAAATTTTCTCCTTTTATAGAAAATGTTCGATAAATTTTCTTTTTATAGAAAATTTTTGCATAATTTTTCTTTTCATAGAAAATTTTCGAATAAATTTCCTTTTTTTAGAAAATTTTCGGATAAATTTTCTTTTTATGGAAAATTTTCGCATAAATTTTCTTTTTGTAGAAAGTTTTCGCATAATTTTTTTTTTTATAAAAAAGTTTTCGCATAAATTTTCTTTTTAAAGAAAATTTTCGCATAATTTTTCTTTTCATAGAAAATTTTCGAATAAATTTCCTTTTTTTAGAAAATTTTCACATAAATTTTCTTTTTAGGAAAATTTTCACATAAATTTTCTTTTTAAGAAAATTTTCACATAAATTTTCTTTTTAAGAAAATGTTCACATAAATTTTCTTTTTAAGAAAATGTTCACATAAATTTTCTTTTTAAGAAAATTTTCACATAAATTTTCTATTTAAGAAAATTTTCACATAAATTTTCTATTTAAGAAAATTTTCACATAAATTTTCTATTTAAGAAAATTTTCACATAAATTTTCTTTTTATAGAACATTTTCGGATAAATTATCTTTTTATAGAACATTTTCGGATAAATTATCTTTTTATAGAAACCTTTCGCTAAAATTTCTTTTCATATAAAATTTTTGTTAAATTCTTTCACTTTTATTATTGTTTTAGTAACCTCTGGTAGCAAATAATTCAATTAAAAAATTTAAATAAATATGTAACTTTAAATAACAGAAGAAAATCCAATTATATTTGTATAAAAATTTATTGAGCCCATAGTTATTTAATTATTTCATTTCGCCGTAAATTACATAGGCACATACATACATAAAACTCTGCTTTTATTTATGTAAATTTTTTAACGCTTTTATAAATTGTATTACAGTAAACCTGCATGTAAATATTAAACAATATGTATACAAATATTTTAAAATAATATTTTCCCTAAAGCCACTATCACCGCCAACACCAACCGAATTAAAATAGAAAAAAAAAACAAAAACCCACCTCGATTTTCTGTTTGTTTTTTAATCAACACCAATAAAAACGTAACACCATCTATCCCGCCACTACAATCTTGAACTGATGAGTATAGTCTACAAAAACCAAAATATTCCAAAAAATACTTTTGCATTTATTCAAATATTCCACCCATGTCTAGTTATCCTTGCTAGTTTTTAGTCTGCTGCATTTTTTTCGTTGTAGATATTTATTGTACTTGTATTTTACTTACCTGCAAGCAATTAAAATGTTGCAAAAATTTAGCACTTTAGTAATAAAGTATCCTCTTGTAACAGTTTGTTTTTGTTCATAAAAAGTATTTTTTCGAGTATATATTAAAAACTATAACATAGCAGATAGCATGAGGGAGTATAGATGCAAATATTTGTGGTCGTTAGCAATTATAAAGCCTAATTCAATAGCCTTGCTTTCGAGAGGAAATAAAATGCCAAAAGATATGTAAATATTTACGTAACAACATATCTTCAGAAAGTTTATTAGCCTAGTCCATAGACTGGTCCTAGTCTATTGACAATTCCATGGACTAGTTTATTGACTATTCCATGGACTAGTCTATTGACTATCTAGTCTAGTCCATTGACTATTCCATGGAAAAGTCAGTTGACTCTTCTATGGGCTAGTCTGTCGATAACTCTATGGGTAGTATATCGACCATTCTATAGACCAGTTGTCGAATATTCTATGGACAATTTTATGGACTTGTCTATTGAATATTCTACTGACTATTCTATGGACTAGTCTATGAACTATTCTATGTACTAGTCTATAGACTAGTTCTTGGACTAGTATATTGACTATTCTTTTGAATATGAACTAATCTATAGGCTATTGACCACAACTTACTGGTCCATAGACTGGTCAATAGACTAGATCATAGACTATCCAATAGACTAGTCCATAGAATAGTCCATAGTCTGGTCAATAGACTAGTCCATAGACTAGTCCATAGTCTGGTCAATAGAATAGTCCATAGACTGGTCAATAGACTAGTCCATAGGCTGGTCAATAGACTAGTCCATAGACTAGCCCATAGACTAGTCAATAGTCTAGTCGATATACTGGTCAATAGTCTAGTCGATATACTGGTCAATAGACTTGTTAATAGACTAGTCCATAGACTGGTCAGTAGACTAGTCCATTGACTGGTCAATAGACCAGTCCATAGACTGGTCAATAGTCCAGTCCATAGACTGGTCAATAGACTAGTCCATAGACTGGTCAATAGACTAGTCCATAGAAAAGTCAATAGACTAGTTCATAGACTAGCTCATAGACTAGTCAACAGACTAGCCCATAGACTAGTCAATAGACTAGTCCATAGACTAGTCAATAGACTAGTCCATAGACTAGTCGATAGACTAGTCCATAGACTGGTTAATAGACTAGTTAATAGACTGGTCAATAGACCAGTCCATAGACTGGTCAATAGACCAGTCCATAGACTGGTCAATAGGCTAGTCCATAGACTGATCAATAGACTAGTCCATAACTAGTCCATAGACTAGCCCATATACTAGTCCATAGACTGGTCAATAGGCTAGTCCATTGACTGGTCAATAGACTAGTTCATAGACTGGTCAATAGACTAGTCCATAGACATAGACTACTCCATAGACTGGTCAATATACTGGTCAATAGACTGGCCAATAGACTAGTCAATAGACTAGTCCATAGACTGGTCAATAGACTATTTCATAGACTTGACAATAGACTTGTCCATAGACTGGTCAATAGACTAGGCCATAGATTGGTCAATAGACTAGTCCATAGACTGGTCAATTGACTAGACCATTGACTGGTCAATAGATTAGTCCATAGACTGCTTTATAGACTTGTCCATAGAAAAGTCAATAGACTAGTCCATAGACTTGCCCATAGACTAATCAATAGACTAGCCCGTAGAGTAGTCAATAGACTGGTCATTAGATTAGTCAATAGTCTACTTTATAGACTAGTCTATAGACTATTTCATAGACTTGACAATATACTAATCCATAGTCTGGTCAATAGACTAGTCCATAGACAGGTCAATAGACTAGTCCATAGACTGGTCAATAGACTAGTCCATAGACTGATCAATAGACTAGTCCATAGACTGGTCAATAGACTAGTCCATAGACTGATAAATAGATTGGTCAATAAACTGGTCAATAGATTGGTCCATAGACTGGTCAATAGATTGGTACATAGACTGGTCAATAGATTGGTCAAAAGATTGGTCCATAGAAAAGTTCATAGAATAGACTCTATGGTCTATTCTATGAACCATATAAAGTCAATACACTAATTCATAGAATAGTCCGTAACAGAAATGGTTGATAGACTAATCAACTGAGTAGTCCATAGACTAGTCAACTGCCTAGTCCATAGACTAGTCAACTGCCTAGTCCATAGACCAGTCAGCTGTTTTGTCCATATACCAGTCAACTGACTAGTCCGTAGACCACTCAACTGACTAAAAACTCTTTGGTCTCTTCTATGGATTAGATCACTTACCATTCTATGCCGTTGAAAAATCCCTTTATCCGTTACTTTATTTGTTAGATATAGATCCATTTGGATCAATGTACCCTTTTTAGATGTAATTGTTTGGATATAGTTTTCGTTGACTGTACAAGTAGTACAGTTTAAGCTGCATGACTCCAAGATAAACTGTATGTATGTATCTATAACATTCGTAGCACCAAACATTTTATATTTCTTAACTACCACAATCCCAAATTACCCGCAACACAAAAAAAAAATGCCACCCTAATATGTAAAAAAACTGCACGATTTATTTTTTCAACAAATATTAAAGCAATTTAAGTGTAAAAAGAAACAACAAAGTCAATTCCGATTTTATTTTAATAGTAAAACAACAAATAAAAATAAACACGAAAAAACAGGACAAACTAAAGCGGAAGTAGAGGAAATGCGATAGCAAACAGGTGCAACATCGATAGCAAATAAAACATTAAATGATTTTTTTTTGGCAACAAAATATACAAAAATAAGTCAACTTTAACAAAAACAAACAAACACATACCCACCAGCATAAAAAACAGCATATTTAACAAACAACAACAACCAAGCAGAAGATATTGAGGCAACGATATCTATGCAATAACTTGCCTACAACGATTATTGTTGCAACTACCGCAACAACAGTTACAAACAACAACATGTATGTTTCCAGCGAAAACACAAAACGACAGCCAAAGCAACAACTAAAACAACAATGAAGGAAAATCATAACAACAGTTATAATACAGCATTCTCATGTAGCAACAACAGCAAACGTGCCAGCAACTCGTTGAGAGTACCAACAGCGACGACAACAGCAACCGCAAAACATCAGCAACAAATTAATTTAGTTGCAATACAAAAACCACGCGCCAGTTATCCGGAAATTATGAATCCTCGCTTATCATTGAATGGTACTTTGCGTCATTTGGTGCCATCACCTCGACCACTTTATCGTGATCACAGTTCACGTTCCATACATCCCCTTACGGCTAATGAGCAACAAATGTCTGAACTGGATGGCTGTTTCTATGGCACCATAACACGTAGCGGCCACTTAACAGCATCCAATGCAGGGGGTGGTAGTTCGGGTGGTGGCGGTGGTGGTGCACTATTAGATTTGTCAAGTAGCAATGTTGGCATTGTAACAACCACAACATCTTTGGATTACACTAGTGGTCTAAATGATTATAGTAGTAGTGCTGGAGGAGGAGGTGGTGGTGGTGGTAGTAGTGTTGGTGGACTTGGTGTCTTGGCCGGTAGTGGTATGGGGGATTTTAGCAGTGCTGGTGGTGTGCACTTTCACACTACTGAACTTTCTATCACACCATCTATGACTGGTGATGAACAATGTATTGATTTGGGTAGTTTACGTCGTTTCTCCATAGATCGTCATAGTTTTTTGGGTAAGAGTTTATAAATTGTTTTTTTTTTCTATTTTCTATTTGTTTTGTTTCAAATTACTATTTTAGTTTTGTTTGTTTGTTGACTACTGCATCCCAATAATTTATTTCCATTTTTCAATGACGTTGCTACTGCTACTGCTGCTGATGATGATGATGCTGTTGTTTTTAAAAATATTTTTTTTGTCCTAGTTTTTATTTAAATTGAAAAATTATACATTTTGTAAAGTTTCATTTCTGTTTTGGCATAAATCATTGTGAATGGTTATTTTCTAAGAGCAACAGGAAAAAAAAGCAATTAAAATTAAGTTTGAACATTTTCTAACCAACACTAATGTAAAAACTTGTTTACAAATATGTCAATTCATTAGAAAGTATTTTAATAGCTGAATTTTTTGAGAGATTTTTTTTAAATACTTTTTTAGTTTTAACTAATTATTTTGTCGACACTATTTCCAGGTGAATATTATACATTTTTATACCCTACACCACTTTAGTGGGGAGGGTATATTGGGTTTGTGCTGATGTTTGTAACATACAGTATACCAATCGGCTTAGAATCGTTTTCTGAGTCGATTAAGCTATGTCCGTCCGTCCGTATGGCTGGCTGTCCATGTAAACCTACTGCGCAAGGTACAGGTCGCAATTTTCAAGATAATCGGATGAAATTTGGCACGTACGTTTTATTTGGCCCAAGGACGAAGCCTATTGAAAATGGTTAATATCGGTCTTATTATTTCACTTAGCCCCCATAGAACAGAACCCCCCGAAAAGGGCTTCTGAGCTCATAATTATATTAAATATACAGGTATATCGATAAAATGCTGCACAACTAAGTTTTATAGAAGTCTTGATGATCCTGCCAAATTTCATAAAAATCGGGCCCCATTTGGCTCCCATACAAAGTCCCCTTCAGAAAATTACTTGAATGTCCAAAATTAACTTAAAAACACAAATATCGCCATGAAATTCAGCACAATAAAATATTATGTAAATATAAATATATTCACAAAATTTTATCGGGCTTGGTCCATATTTGCCCCTAGCCCCCATATAAAGCCTCTTTCAGAAAATTAGTTTTTCATCCATAAATTGCTTAAATGTAACGGAACAAGGTAATATTGAAGATAAATGCTTTATTATGAAAAATAAATCACATTTAATATTCATAACTGGTGTGGGGTATCATATGGTCGGCCACGCCCGACTATACTTTCTTACTTGTTAATCATAGTAGAATAATTTTGTTAGAAATTTAATATGTTTGCGAACACTCGACTCTAGTCGTTTCACTTGCTATCTTGAATTTGACGTAATTTAATCATTCACAATAACTGATATAATTCGAAACGCTGTGAATTGTTTTAAAAATGTATGTTATATTTCATTTATGAACATTTGTTGTTGACAAACTATATTTATGGCAGAAAACTCCTCAGCGGTAATCTTCAAGAGGTCACGATATGTTGAATTATTTTTCAAATAAAAAGTTCCTAAACTACCGTGTGGCTATAGATTCCTCCATTACATATTTCTTTGCATCTTCACCCACCTTAATGTTATCGTAATTCCATATTGCCACTGTCTCTGATCAGACGGTATCTAACTGTAGTAGACAATTTATTAGGGTTCGAGGACTACACTGAACCGTATGGGTGCTCCACCTACACTTTTCTAGTAGGTGACGTTAGCACTTGGTATTTTTTGGGTGATCTTTATTCATGATGATGGAACAGGTATATGTAACTTGGTGAAAGTTCGCGAAACTCTTTCTTTAATTTTCAGACTCAATAGGTACCGAATTGTGATACGCTACGGGAGTATGATTGTGACTTATCTCTTCCATTTAATTAGTTCGAATAACTATATGATTTCCATTCTGTGGTGATGTCGTCTCGTAATGAAAGAGGAGTCCTGAATTTTATTAGTGTCATATAGCGAAACGATATAGCCAGCTCTGTAGTGAAGTTGTGCAGCATTAAAAGTTTAAATAATGTTCTTGAGGAAGTCTTTGGACATTGGTAGCATGAGACGCATCAAATGCGATTGACTTAACATGTTATTGTCTCCTACTTATTTGGCTATTACTTATGATGCCTTTCATTCCGCAACGGAAATTTTCTAAAATTGCCACTTGCATGTTCTGTCTGAGATCAAGCAGGGTGAGTGGTGGACCGTCAATAGTCAGTCCACTTAATGGACTGTGTGGGTGATCCACACAAAAATTGTTGATTTCGATAAATTTGGATTCTCGCAATTAGTTTGTTATACTCTTCACCTTTGTGAGAAGGATTTGTAATTTCTACAATATAATTTTCCGACCCTAGAATGTATATATGTATTTTCGATTTAGCCATGTTCGTCTGTTGGTCTATCTGTCTGTCTGTATGTGTTGGTCTTATTTTACGGTGATACTTTTCCAACCACTGTTTAAGTTTGTAAGACGACTTACCACCGCCGCTTTGTGCCTTGCAAGAAAGACGGATTTGGCAATTTTCGTACATGGTTCTGTCGGTGCATGTACAAGCACTTTGCTCAAGTACTTGAGTTATATAATCTCTGATTATTGCTGCCCCGTTGTGTAACTTCCGAGGTGAAGAAAAACATCACTTCCGTTCACAACCACGCACATGGGATGGTCTCCTTTGATTCGGCAACTGTATCTAAAGACGAAATCGGTACATTGAAATACGAATCCATCATAAAAACCAAAGACATGGTCTTACTCACAGAGAATACACTGCGATAACTCTGGTATGAACCCTAAATATACCCTGACAATGAAGATAAATTAAATAAAAGATTCCGTTCACTCCATCGCTATTCTACTCTGCATACATTTCTCATTTAGAGAATACGTTGAGAGAAGCTCGTATTCTAGGTATACGAGTGCAATAAGTCCACATACCCTTTCCTTCTTTCTGTATTTCATACATTCTCAACGCATTTTCCCACAATAACTACTCTGCAGGGTATCTGTTGTCTCCTTCGGCAACAGCACCAAACTTAACCAGTAATATTGATTTCAAACGTGTTTGAGTTCTTTAACAACATTCTTTTACCGCGATTTTGGAGACACCGCGTGTACCCCGATGAGGCCTCTCCAATAACCAGAACAAAGTATACCCTATAGGCTACTGGTTTCCGTGATACCAGTTTATATATCTCTCTGATTCCACCCCAGATCAAATCATTCCAAAGTTTCTAGTCTCAGTATACTAGAGGTACTGGAAACACCTGTTTTCCCCGGATTCCTATCACACCGTCATAAGGAAAGCTCATCCAGGTAACATACACTGGACGGATTGTGTGCATGTTGAAATCAATTTTCAGAAGATCCCAGATATCTGGAAGGTCCGAATAAATTTTGACTATCAAGTCATTTTCTGAAGGGGTCTTTGTATGTGGGATAGGATCAAATGAGGCCCAATCATTACGAAAATCAGCAGTATCATATCAAGGCCTATATAAAACTAAGTTTAGGTACAAGAACATTCAACATATTTATGAGCTGAAAAGCCCTATCCGGGGTACGGTTGTATGGGGACTATACGAAATAATGTACCGATTTTAACCATCAATAGGCTTCATATTTGAATCAAAAGAAGAGTATGTTCCAAATTTCATCAAATTATATTGAAAATTGTGACCTGTAGAGCGTACACAAGGTTTACATGGACACACAGATGGACGGACAGACGGACATAGCTAAATCGAAAGTGATTCTCAGCCGACTGATATACTGGGTGTAGGACCAATATTTTTATGTGTTACAAACATCAGCATTAAAGCATAATACCCTCTCCACTGTAGTGTTGTAGGGTATAAAAAATTTCGGTACAATGAGAACCATGAAAATGTTAAGTTTTTTTTTCAACATTCTTCAATATAGACTGAATCTAGAATATCGCTATGATCACAAAATTTTGCACATATAAATCTAAT